TCTCTTTTATTCTGGACGGCAAGGGCAGTGACTGTACCATCGAGCGTATTTTGCAGTATTAAACACGTATTTATACTGATTTCATCAGGCTCCGAAAATTCTTCAAAAAGAACACAAATAATGGCCTTCTCAGCTGCCATAGTTGCAACTCTTGCGTCATCAGAACAGAGTGTTCAACGCACCGCCGTTTCCGTTTAAAAAACGTTTTGCACCGTTTTTGTCAGGGCTGAACGAAAAGGCAGACAAACTTGTTTGACTATTTGCACTTTTATTTTATTTTCTGGTATCTCTCCCGCCCACTTTCACATACGCGGAAGTTGCCAGGAATAAGACGAAAACAGGTAGATTAATGAACTTTTTAAACGCAGGAGGACCGATGTTTTAAACAGCTCTGGGATTTTTAAACGTATTTTAAACCCTACCGAGAAAATATTATTTAGTGAAAGTACAAGCTAACGACATGGCAGACCACAGTGACAAGGAAATCACAGACAGGCCATCTCTTCTAGAGTCAGACTTGACGTGTCCTGTGTGCAAAGACATTTTTAGGGAACCTGTGTTGCTCTCGTGTAGCCACAGTTTCTGCCAGGAATGCCTGGAGGGCAGCTGGAAAAACCAGTCGAAACCGCAGTGCCCGCTGTGCAGAAAATGCTGCGACGGAGAGACACCGATTCCTAACCGCGCATTAAAAAACACCTGCGTAACCTATAAAAAGGAGAGGAACTGGAGAGGACAAGGTACTGGTGTAGATGAGGTCATTTGTGGCTTGCACCAGCGGCCCTTCCAGCTCTTCTGCATTAAAGACGAGGAACCCGTGTGCGTCGACTGCGTGACTCTTCATCCAGGACACGAGCTGGTGCCTATAGAGCAAGGAGTGCCTTTCTGCAAGGTGAGCAGAGCTCATTGCTTTTTCCACATTGTGGTATAAAAAACAACCCACTTCGTGTTACAGCTACTGAAATGAACACTGACCTTTTTATGGAAATACTTCTAACGTGCAATGCTTTATAGGATGAGCTTAACATGAAAATCAAAATACTGGAAAGTAAGCAGGACTCCTTCAAAAGGATGAAAAAAAGATATAAAGACACAATCTCCTTTATTGAGGTTAGCAGTCTCCAAAAACGTTTTGAAAGCCAAACACATCAATGCAGTGAAATCTTAATAATTTTGAACTAATGCTTGTTCTACTTCTCCGTATTGTTACAGAGCCAGACTAAGGATGCAGAGAATCAAATCAAACAGGAGTTTGAAAGACTCCATCAGGTCCTACGTGATGAGGAGACATCTAGAATAAATGCTTTGTATAGAGAAGAAAATGAGAAGAAGCAAATGGTGAATGAGAAGATTGATATCATCAGCCACGATATCATAGCTCTTGCTGAATTGATTCAGTCGGTAAAGAGGGAAATGGGAGCGGAGGATTTGACATTTCTTCAGGTACAATTTTTTTTTTTATAACTTTTGTATGTTAATAATTAAACATACTCTGTTTACCAGTTGTAAACAGGATACACTTATGCATCCATACTTTTTAACAGATCTGACTTAAGTGTTATTTTCAATATGTAGATTACAGGCAGAAACCTCTAGACTAATCGCTGGTGGGTCAATGACAAAAAAAGTGTCTATAATAAAAAAATAAAAAAAGAGAAAAAAATCTAGGTTTAAACACATGTACCAAGCTCTTAGAAGCGTATTTTAAGAAACCATTTTTAAGATAAGTTTAAATTCACTGACTCTAAAAATGTCAGGTCATTCTGTCTTGTCCAAATCCTTTCAAAATTAATGTCATGTCATTGTTTATGCCCCACGCCTTACCAAACAAACAAACAAAAAATATCAGAATATTCCAGTCATTGTATGTATGAATTGCATTTTTAATGGCCAATGCAGAAAAATATATGTTCAATCTAGATTTAAAAATGGCAAGTGTAGCAGAGGACTTGACATGAAATCTCGTCATTGACCCTTTACATGACAAAAAAAGTGTCTATAATAAAAAAAGAGAAAAAAATCTAGGTTTAAACACATGTACCAAGCTCTTAGAAGTGTATTTTAAGAAACCATTTTTAAGATAAGTTTAAATTCACTGACTCTAAAAATGTCAGGTCATTCTGTCTTGTCCAAATCCTTTCAAAATTAATGTCATGTCATTGTTTACGCCCCACGCCTTACCAAACAAACAAACAAAAAATATCAGAATATTCCAGTCATTGTATGTATGAATTGCATTTTTAATGGCCAATGCAGAAAAATATATGTTCAATCTAGATTTAAAAATGGCAAGTGTAGAAGAGGACTTGACATGAAATCTCGTCATTGACCCTTTACATTTATACTGGCAGGTTTTCTCACGCTTTAACATAACTGATAACGAAATCAGACATGTCCCACATTCAGCTCTTATGAATCAACTTTTCTTCTTCCACAGAATTTCCAGAGGCTAAAAAGACGGTATGTGCCTATTTATTTTATCAAGTGTTTCTTAGGTCTGCTTTGCTATGAATTGCTTGCTTAATACCACTATAGATAAGTCATATTTAAAATATATATTAAAGTCCACATGAAATAAAAATTCACCCCATCTAGATTCTAAATTCATATTATAGATCCTAAAGGGATAGTTCACCCAAAAATGAAAATTACTGAAAGTGATTAATGAAAATGTCCTGCTCATGCTTGTCCATATCATGGTAGTGAATAGCGACCAGCTTCAAACTTGATCACAGAATTATCCCTGATTACTTAAGTACTCTTGAAATTTACAGTACAATAGGGTTTAGTGAAAAACAAACCAAAATGTAATTTATAATTTATCAAAATCCTGACCTTGGCTGTTGGTCTGTTGTGCTCGACTGCAGATTCATGACATTTGCTCAGGGAAAGCACACAAGCGTGCCATTTTGAGAAATAGGTTTAATAATAACACAAAACACAATGCCTAGATAAACCCAAAGAAGTATCCATGTACATTTATTCACAAAGAAGTCACTTTCAAAGCAAGCAACTTTCTGTTGGTCAACATGGCAAATTTTCATGACCAACTTGAAACCGTTGCAAAATCTGAGTGGGGAAATCCTTTGCCCTCATGCAGAAATTCCAGTAGCGTAGATTCCTATTGAAACTGGATTTCACCCATGAAAAATTCGGCAAACAACAGTAAATGTGACCGCACCTTTAATGTGAACAGTTTATCCGTGCATGTGTTTTTTTTTTTTTTTTACCTCATAATGTTTTATTAAAATGGCATAACTGGACCTTACGGTGAAAATGACAGACTTCTCTATGAATGCAGAACTTCTCCAAAAGCTCATATTCATCCATTTGTACTTTTGAATGCAACACCCACGTCTGAAAATCCAAACAGCTGATACATCGAACCAAGTCCCCATCCTGCATATTTTTCTTTTTCAATAAATTGTTTCGGATGTATGTAGCAATAGGGGAGACTAGATCTGTCAATACTTCTGTTTTGTTGTGACTGTAATTTAGCTGTGTGTAAGAGGTTGAACGTAAGGTAAAGATGATCTCTTGATGTCTGTCACAGAACCCAGTGGACTGGTGAGGAGCCAAAGAAGATTCAAGGAGTTCTCATCAACATGGCCTTGCATGTAGGCGCTTTGGGTTACAAAGTCTGGGAAAAGATGCTGTCTCATGTCACATGTTGTGAGTGCACTTTTCATCTCGTCTAAAATGTGTGTAAGATTAACTTTGTGAGTCACTGTAACATTGTTTTGTCTGCAGTGCCTGTAATCCTGGATCCCAACACGGTCTCGCCCTGGCTCTCCATATCTCCTGATTTTTCCAGTGTGCAACAGAGTTTGGAAAGACAGACCTTCCCAGACAACCCTGAGAGGTTTGATCCCTGTGTTTTTGTCCTTGGCTCAGAGGGTTTCTCCTCAGGACGCCACCGTTGGGAGGTCCGTGTGGCTGACCACCCCAAATGGATCTTGGGTGTATGCAAGGAGTCAGTGGTTCGGAAGAGGAAGTTCACAGTAACAACAACAGCCGGAGTGTGGACCATCGGTCTGAGTAAAGGAGTCTACAGTGCACTGACCACTCCACGCACTGAGCTGAATCTAGAGAGAAGGCCTGAAACCATCAGGGTAAAGGTCAATATGGAGAAGGGAGAGGCGTCCTTCTGGGATACAGGCAACAACAAGCACCTATGTACATATAATGATAAGTTCACTGGAAAGCTGTTCCCCATCTTTGGCCCAGGGCTCCAGAGTACACCCATCACTATCTTGCCTGCTAAAGTGACCATACACAAACAATAAGTAAATATGCTTTGTTTCTTTAACATCTAAGCCTGGTGAGACTGAAGAGTCTAAAACCTTCACTAAAGTTGCTACTTAGTTTGAACAGAATTCAAGGAACATTTCGGATTCAGTAGAAGTTAATCCCAGTCAACAGCATTTCAAACAGGACGTCAACCATGACACTGTAATGCCATAAACCCTTAAACAAGTGTAATTTTAAACTGTGTTACAGATCAAAAAAGTTTTAAAAGAAGAATGAATGTAAGTGCTTTCATTTCAACTGCAGCACCATAACCGTGATCCTTAATTTTTGCTTCTTTTTTTTTTTAAGAAAACAAGGGACAAATTGAAATATTTTTTTCTGGTGATTAACGTCATGCTACAAATGCTGTTGTTTGTGAATAACTTGTACTGGACATGGAAAATTCCTTTAAATGAGAATGGAAAAGAAATGGAAACTCAAAGGAGGTGAACAGCATATTTTGATATATTATACTAAAACATATGTCACGATTCATGTTTTTTTTTTTTTTTTTTCATATTATGTTTGTGTGATTTGCTATGTCAGGGTGAAGGTATTTTTTTCCTTGTCCTCCACAATGTAAATGGCTTTATTGCTGCTAAAACACTATTAATTGTTCAGTAGAGAATGTCTTTTATATCAATCCACTTAAAATCTTATACTTAACCATACTATTGTTGAATGATAGGGGTCAACATAAGAGTTGAACCAGAACAACTCAGTTTCAGCCATTATCTTTTTTTTGTTTAAAGACAATTGGTTTCCATTTTGATTTGCCATTTAATTGTGCCAGGTATGTTTAATTACAATTATACAGTACAGCTTTTGATATTAGCGGGGGTGATAGTTAAAGAACCAACATTTAATTAAATAATAACAATAAAGATGATCTCACTTATCAGACTGAATGTGTTTTTTTTTTCCTGTCTCCAGCAGCATTTCAGTTTAATGTCTTCCAGTCAAAAAAGGAACACTACATTGGTTAATAATAGAAAAATCTCTGATTTCACCAGTCTCATTAAGATTAGCTAAGACTGATGTCCAACTTATTGTGAAAGTGCGTGTTTTGAATAAATTGTTGGAAGTGTTAAAAGTATGCCAGTATTGCGGTAAACACAACCTTTTCAACCACAAAACAGACTCATGTGGGATTTTCAAAACTAAAAGGTTATTTTGCATGTTGGCTTTAATTAACAGAGTTTATCATTAGACCCTAATGCATTTTGCAATAATCTGACAGCTGGACAGTTGCAAAAACAGCTGCTATGTTAAAACTCTGTCTAAAGAACTAGTCCGACCAACTAGCAGTTAGCCAAGGGATAATCAGTTTTACTTTTCTGATTCAAATGAATCCTGTTTACATTTTTAAGTAACTGATGTGCCGTCTTAAAGAAAAAATAGTATTGACTTGTAAGACCAGTCTAAATTTATGCAACCAGCCACTGGTCTTAAATGTCTTTTAGACTGTACATGTGTAAAAGTATGACAGTTATAGTGTTATCTATCTTGAGTTTCTCTATACTTTTATCTATACTTTCCTCTGCACTGAGAGAGATAACAGACAGAAGACTGCTCTGGTATTCATTTGCCCAAGATACACACATTTAATAGTAATATCAAATTGCACGTGTATATATAATGTTAAATGGAAGAAAGGCCCCAGCCTCCCCGTGACCTTACATAGGAGTAGAGGTTTAGAGAATGGATAAATTGATGGAAACGCTTGCACAGTCCCATATTTAGACTCAAGTGTCCCTCATATCAGTAAACATGTGGTAGGAATATATCTGTGTCTGTGGAGGTTGTAGCTCTTCACTTTGAAGTTAGCTACTAAAAAATAAAAAGGTTGTTAGCTGTGTTATTGGAGGAGATGTGGTGGTTCAAAATAGTGTTTTCAGTTTTGTTTAAGATACTGGGTCTGGTTTCATCTTCACAATTCATCTCTGTACTAACGTCATGGGAATTTGTGTTGATCCCCCACCCTTGTCACAGATAGTTTGTGAGAGCTTCTACATGAGAAGAAGGCCAATAAACACCTCACATTTACAGGTAAATCAATCATTCAAATCTTCCATTATTTTTATCTTCCATTAAGTTTTATCTACCATTATTTTTCCCTACAGAGTTGTTTAATATGTATTATACAAAGGAAATAATAAGTAGTTATTTGAAACTTGAAAGAAAAATGTAAAGTACAAATTCATTTTTATGATGCAGGTTTTCAGTGTTGGGGAGTAACTAGTTACATGTAACGGAATTACATAATTTAATTACAAAATAAATGTAACTGTAATCTGTTACAGTTACTAAGAAAAAATGTGTAATTAAATTACAGTTACTTATGAAAATGTTAAAGACTACAAAGGGGGTTACATCTGAATATTTTCACACACATACAGATTTGATTTATTTCTTTCCCAAATTGCATTGACTGCTCTAAAATATGAGACACCAATGTTTCAGGAGTTTAGGACACAGAATAGGACACAATGCTTATTCGATAACTGTTCTATCTTCTATTTGGGTTTATGTATATGCTTTATTTTTTAAGATTGACTGTTTTTTTCCTATAGGCATTGTTAGATGCCAGTGTTTCCTGTCATAGCTATACAAAGATTTGATTTTAAAAACAGTATAATAGCTATTAAACTTTAAATCTTATGATTTTAAATCTGTATTTAACCTCAGAATGATCTCAAAGTAAAAAGAGGTTTTAAAGTATGGTGGCTGTGCTTTAAAATTGAATTATTATAATTCAATATAATATATATGATTTTGAAAGTCTGACAGTAGTCAGTGTTGAGTACTACTGTAAGGTTAACTCTGCCTGCTTTAAATGTTTAAAAAATGATTAACAGTTTAGAAAAAATGTAATAATTTAAATTTAGTAAAGTAATCAGATGTAATCAGTTACATTACTTTAATAAAGTAACTGAAATAGTTACACTCCTTGTTACATTTTAGATTTTATCTGTAACCTGTTACATTTCCACAGTAACCTTCCCAACACTGCTGCTCAACATGGCTTTCCAGGAGAATCTGTGCTATATTTCAGCTGATGCTAGTATGATGATTGTAATGAAATCTAAAGATCAGTGATCTGAGATCACAGACCGCATCGATGTGATTTCACTCAGACGGAGTCTTATTCTGGGTGGTGTCTGGCATGAAGGCAGCAGATATTGCTGATGAAGGAAAGCAGGCACTTTTCTTACATGATGCTAACAAAGCACAACTGAACAGCAGTTCATCACAGAACCCTGCAAAATGAGCAGATCATCTTCTAACAGGGAGGAGAAATGCTTCCTATAGCTGTAGAGGTCAAAGGTCGTGTGTCCAGTCAAACTCTACAGTATTCATCTGTCATCTGTGGCATCTAGTCAGATCTGATGATGAAACACGGACAGGTTGTGTGACGCTCTGATCCTCAAAAACATGAACTAAATGACACAAGCGTCTGAAACGTCTGCTTGTTACTTCTGCATTGTGAATAATTTCTCCTCCTTTAATAACTGTATTTAAACGATGTCTTGAAATAGGATCACTGTATGCCGGTTTAGTCTTAAAATGACTGGTAATCATTCACCTTGTACTGGGGGAATCCGATAGACTCGATCCAGAGCGCCACATCCTCACCACTCCAGCGCAGGAACTCCATGTTGTGCTGAGCTGCTATGGAAACCAGTCAACAAGCCAACAGACACCATGAGTTCAAATCTGTAACTTATTACATTTCCAAAGTAACCTTCCCAACACTGCAGATTTTATGATTGCTGATTGTTATCTAAAGCTGCAGTCCGTAACTTTTGGCGCTCTAGCGGTTAATCAACAGAACTGCGTGCATATTGCGGAAGAACATTGTAGCCGGAGCTACTTCTCTCTGTTTATGTCTATGGCGAATCACGCAGGTACTGGGCTACTCCGCAGCGGTACCTACCCGAACCAGTCTAAATAGTCCGAATATAAACACTTATTATAGGTGTACCGTAGTGATTCAGGACAAGTTTGGAAAATGGATTCATGGTGTACTCGCTTATTGTATAAATATTTTAAATGTTGAACACAAAAACGTTACGGACTGCAGCTTTAACAATGTGAGTGACAGAATATTCCAAATTCGTCAGGATATTTGAATTCTAAAAAAAAGTTGAAATAAATTGTTAACATATTGTTATTGCAAATATTATTTCTCAAACTACAACATTATCTATATAAACCACGTATTATTTAAAAGGTAATTTCAAGCCTGCAGTGCATATCATGTTAACAGTATCACAGTGCCCATATTTTGTCATAAGATGTTGCGTGAGGGAAGAGTTGCATGAAGATTTTCGGTTCCCCACCCATTCTTATCAGTTTATCTCAGTCAGAAGAGAGCGGGTAACATCATATTAAAAACTGTAAATGATCCATTTTTACTGAAGTGATTCCTCTTTGCCTGCGCTTTCTCCAGTCATGATGGACAAATAAATTCATGTGTATCATGTGATGACTGCCCCCCTCACTCATTGCTGTAAACAGGCATGTGTATTTGTATGTGAGCTGGGGGGAAGGGGTCATATCTTTTTAAAACACTCATACTATCACAAAACGGGACAGTGCAGGAGGGCAGGGCCTCTTATGATGCCGCACACAGACATGTGCTGCTACAGTATAGAACCGCAGTAACATGAATGTGAACTAAACTGCAGTTCTGAAGAGAATTGAACTTTTGCAGCTCGTTCCCTGATATATAAAGTGGGGGAAAGCATGAGACTGACTGAATTCCACCACCAGAGGAATAAATAGAAGAGAAGAGAAAGGTTTGAGAGACATGTTGCAGTGCCGAGTGAATTTCCTGGAGGACACCTACTTTGCGTGGGAGCTGGAGGTACAAAGACCTTCTCTCTGTATAATGATATTATAATAATATATCTTATAATATCCTAAAATAATGTCTTAATAATGACTAAAGTTTATTTTTCTTACTCAACTAGCAAATATTTTCTAAGTAGAAATCTATCAATTAATGAGATTAATGCTTAAAACCAAAAACAAAACTATAAGTAAATAAATAAATGAATAATAAGGTATATTGACTGGAAACCAGTCTTATCTTACTCAGATAAGTACATTTATTTTGTTTTAAGAATGTTTAGATATTTTTACTGTAAAAGATTAAAAGACATTAAAAATACAGATATTAACAATAAAATTCTCTTTTTTTTCTTCCACAGAGAAATGCTCTGGGACAGGATCTCTTTAATAAAGTTTGTGAACACCTTGACCTGTTGGAGAGGGATTATTATGGTCTGGTCATGTGGGATTCTCCTAGTACCCGGGTATTTTTTTATTTTTATTTTTTTATCAAGCTTACATATAGAGATTCTATTCTATTAAATATTTGATCAATTAAAACTACTTTTTTTTGTTTTTTTTAAGTATTATTATTCTGTGTTTATTTCAGGTATGGCTGGACTGTGCCAAAGAGATCCGAAAACAGATAAAAAGTATGTTTGTTTGTTTGTTTGTTTTAGTGGATGGTAAAGATTCTTGCATTTTCATCTCTGCATCTGTTCCCTGTATGTTGGTTTCAGGTCCAGTAACTGAATTCTTTGTCAACATCAAGTTTTACCCACCTGATCCCTCCATTCTAGCTGAAGACATCACAAGGTATAATAGGACACACAAACTATCCAGATATTCAAAACTGAACTGAAATCTGACTTATTTACATTATTTTCTAATGTTTCCTCACTCTGTTGCATTTCCCACTTCAGATTTGTCCTTGTTCTGTTTCTGTATTATTTGTTTTTGCTTGGATTAGCATTTTTTTTAAGTGTTTGTGAAGCAACCTTGAAATCCTGAAAGGCTCTATATGTAAATTTAGATTCAAAGTATCAATATTATTTTATTATTGTT